CGTTAGAGCGAGGGACGACTGTAAGCCAGGTCTAAACCAGAACTGACCCAGGTCTAAACCAGGTCTAAACAGCGTAGAGTTCTGGGTCAGTCCTTTCACCCGCGGTTAACTGAAGGTCTGTCCGGCCGCGTCTCCGGCGTTTCACCGCTGCTGATTTCACGGTGATTTTAGCGAATTTCTATGAAGAAAAAAACACCACTTCAATCCAGGTTAAAAAAAGCATTGTAACGCGCGTTACTCACATTTGTACCGAGTAAAATATTACAATTTTTCCCCCTGTAATGCCTTACATTACTGCGTTACAGCAAAAATCAACGCATTACTGTAATACATTACTTTTATAATACATTACTCCCAACACTGCTCAAAAATACCTAGAAGAAAGGCATTCTGGCTGTGCCTCTCCACAGATCTGACCAATAAATTGGCCTGGTTTGGTCTCCATGATGATAGAAAAGTTTAATGCCATACTGTGAAACATTTCAGGCAAAGTAATAACATCTCCATGGAGAAAAAGGGATACCGGACCTTCTACCAGAAATGTTGTCTCCATGGAGACACAGTATTATTATCATGTCTCCATATAGTCAAAGCAATAATATCTTTATGGTGACAAGCAAGCGGTGGACCCTCCAACAAAAAAATTACATGCACCTAAATGTTTGTTAATGCTTGGAACTCTTCAGTTGAAATATGTTTTACATTGTGATGTTAGCTGTAGTTAGTAGAATACTGTACTGAATAATTGTTGTTTTATAGCTTGTGCCAAAAGTGTACAGCTGCAGAAATGTGTGTGTGTGTGAGAGAGAAGTACTAAGTGTAGGAAGTGGGGCAAATTACTCAAGGTGCAGCATCTGGCAATGATTAGTGGCCATTAATTGGTGTTAACTGTTGCTACTAGTGTTTACAGAGTTGAAGGATAATTAGCTGGAGGTCAACTCAGGGCTCAAATTAACATGTCAGAACTCCGCAGCTGTCTCATGACAACCAGGGGAGCCATGCAGTGGTGGGTGGACCAAATTTCTGTGTCAGACCAGCATGGGATTTGAGAGCATATGTGTGTGTGCTGTGAATTATTATGGTTTTAGTGACTGGGGTGAGTGTTTCTGTGCCAGTCCTGGGGCAGCCTGCAGTGTGAGTCCAGTGTGACAGAAATGAGGCAGCTCCAGAATAACTCACAGCAGGCCTCCACACGGATGTCCAGAGTAAACAGAGCAGAGCTCGGCTGGTCTGTGAGAGTCCACAGGGAGCGGACTGAGGGACAGAGCTGCACCTGCGCCTGCACTGAACACAGCTGTGGACAGAGGCATGGACCAGCACTGAAGCAGAGCATGGAGATGTCATCAGGAGACATGGTTGGACTGAAGGAGTACTTTTACTCAGCCACTCAAGTACAGAAAACCAGATTTCAGGTGAGACTAAAAAATGTTTTATTTGATTTTTTTCCCCCTTTTTAATTAGTTTTGTTCTAACCATAAGAATAAAAAGCAAATGTGTCCATGTTTGAATTACATGGTCATCTGGATTAACTGTATAACTGTATTTGAAGTGGGTAGAGGGGAGAAGAGCATAAAGGACAAACAAATGCATTATGGACATCACAAACAGCACTGGCCCCACAGTGATGAAGAATAGTTACAGACAATTACAGACAAATGCAAAGTCTATTGTATAAGTGTTGTCCATGTAACTGCAAGGTGTGTGTCAGTGTATAACACAGTGAGATTTGCTACATTCTCATGACTGTGAGAGCACTGCTACAGTTTCTGTTTGTGAGAGGAACTCTGGGGCCAGCAGATCATTGCATACTAAGGCAGAGGGAACACTGAGATAATATCATGTAGGCACAGATTCATACATTAACAGGCGTAATTTACATTCCTACTTTGAACCAAAAAATAACTCTTTAAATAACTCTTCTCCTGGTGTTAAATCCAGAATCACGTCCTACAGGTAATTCCTCCAGCTAAGGTGGTCCTGTATAAGCTTCTGTAGCAGAAGATCTGGAGATGGGTTGAACTGCAGCATTGAAGGATGGGTCAACTACAGGCACAAATAACCTTACACAGATAATAAAATGAACCTTAAACTACATCTACAGTGGTGGGTATGGCCCCAGGAGATGATTCATTGTCTCATGCAGCGTTTTAATGTGGCGCAATTAATGACTGACTGTTTTATGAATAATACAGCGTGACGATTTGGGACAAAACATAGTGAAAAATACTGAGAGACTCAAATGACTGAGGGAATTTTGTTTTACATTATTTTTGTTTTTCTTATTATACTGTTTAACTTTGATCTGGAGCTTGGGCATTTGTCTTTACTCTGATCTCATATATACCATATATGAACAATGTCACAGGTAACAGACACTACTGGTGGAGGATCCTAGTCTAAAGTCCATTTAACTTTTATAAGTTTGAATATTAAGGAATATGAACTTGGATAAACACTCACCTTAATTAAGCTCCGGTTCACTGAACTTAGTGACTACAGGCCTGTGGCTCTGACATCTGTAGTTGTATGGTTTTATCACATCTCAAGTCCACCAACCCCTCTCTCCTGGACACCCTGCAGTTTGCCTACAGAGCCAGTGAGTCTGTAGAGGATCCAATAAATCTAGCCCTACACTTCATCCTGCAGAACCTGGCTTCCCTGGGAACCTACACACCTGCACCTCCAGCCACTGCTCTGTAAAACCATCTTTACGGCAATGAGTCTATGGCATCTGAGGAAAGCCAAGTTGCCAGCCCAGATGATGAGTCAATCCTCAGCTCCTCCATCACCGTTTGGTACGTCAGGGCCACTGCTATGAACAGAAACAGACTGCAGTTGTGTTCTCCGGTGAGAAGGTGATCGGCTGCAACCTCCCATCTCTTCAGGACCTGTAAGTCACAAGGACTCAGGGGCAAGTTCGGATCTCAGCTGACCCATTTCCCCCTGGACACAGACTATTTAAGCCACTCCCCTCAGGCAGGAGGCCATTCAGATTAGGACCTCTTGTTGCAAGAACAGCTTCTTCCCCTCTGCTGTTGGACTCATGAACACTACAACACCTGTCTCTTTACAGCACCTGTTACTGTCACTTTCAACAGTTGTAATTAACCTACTTAGGTTGATTATATTATCATTCTTTGTTTAATGTTGCACCATAATACCGGAGCAAGTTCTTAGTTTGTGAATTTTATTCACTGACAATCGCATTAAAAATTCAGATTCAGATTCAGAATTAGTTTGTCATCCATTTCCATTGAGAATCATTTTCTTGGCCATCAGTCTCTACAGCTAATGCTTTCCATATCTATCACTGTGACAGGCCCAGCGTGTTGGTTTGTTTCACTCAACGGGAGAAATGAATCACACACATGGTGAATAACAAGGAGTATTTGAGTTGTGCATTAACTACACTCACGCTGCTTTTGATGGCCGTATTAAGACAACATCCACAGGCCGCTAACTGAGGCTTTGTGTTAACAGCTCTTATTCTTATAGCCCTATTATCATTTTAAGTTTACATTGGACCTGTATTCTGTAACAAAATTGTTTTGAATTTCTAGTCTTGACTTAATACATAACTGATTGCTCTGCAACAGTATATATATATATATATATATATATATATATATATATATATATATATATATATAAAGCTGGTTTAAAGTGCTACTATCAGTGGCAGTTCATATAAAGAGTAATGCAGGCACATTATGGGCACATTACATCTATTAGACACTGCTGTGCAGCATGCAAATGTGTGCCCATGGGAGAGCACAAAATCATTTTAAACTTCAATAAGTTACAAGTGGTGGCAAGTCTCCCCCTATTCTGCATGAGCCCCAGGCAGCAATGAGGCTGGCTGCAATTAAGAGGAAATAAAAAAGCCCAGAGTAAACAAAGAAAAAGTGTAGAAGACTAATGAAAGAGACATTAACATTTGCTGGGAGATTGCCTTGTCTCTGATGAGGTCGTCTGCTGCTTGTTTTGATTGTCACAATACAATGCTACTGTTTTCAACAAGGATAATGTGCCATTCTGGTAATCTGCCACAGCAAGAATGACTTTAGGTCAACATGTGTAACTGTTATAGCATTTTAATTCAAATGTGCTCACTAACTGAAAACTATAAGCTACATGTGACTGAAGATACCAACAAATGGGACTTTTTTGTTGAAGGGCCTATATTATGCTGTTGTATGATCTATGTTAATGTTGTTTCCTTGTCAAAAACCTACTTGGAGATGTGTTTTGTTTCATTCACACACATTTAACACACAAATCCTGCATATCTAGGCTGTGTTCTTCTCTCAAACAGAAAACATTCTGTTCCACCTTGTGATGTCATGTAGTAATACAGGAAGTACTCCACAGTGTTTTAAACTGTATGCAAATGATTCTAATGAAGGTGTATAATTTCAACCCTGGAATTGCCATTCTACAAAAGGTAAGGGGTACGTAAAACTTGAAAACTACCTCTACATGACATCACAAGGTGGATCAGAGCATTTTGAGCTTTGGAGATGTAGACCGACTAATGGATTATTTAGACATAACTCCAGGTATGTTTTGATGAGGTAACAGCATTCTCACAGTAGTCAATTTTAGGTAATTTGTAAATTTAATTTAATTTGTGCAGTGGAGGTGAGTCATAAGGACATGCCATTGGAGGTAGCCTATTTATAACATTATATTATGTTCCCTCTTCCCTGTGACTCATAAATGAAAAATATCTATTATAAAGTATTGTTTTATCTATAGGGTCAGGTCAAATAATTCTTCATTTAGCCTTTTGTTTCATTAACACCCACCTAGTCCTAAGATATTTAGAAATATCTTAAAAGATGCAAAATTTAAAAATGAATGGGATCATCCAGAATCTACACTTATCACGTGCGCTTCTGCAGTATTTTTTATTTTTTATCACCGAGTCCCGCCCACTCTCTTGTGCCATTGGTTTAATCGACACGTTTTTGTTCCTCATTCGTCAGCGGTCAGATCCGTCAGCTGTGTTGTCAAGTAAACCAGGAACCAAACGTAAGCGAAGTGGTGCGTTGGCAAGTCCAGAGAAATTTGGAGCAAAGTACAATAAAACTGAGAATCCTGTGGTTTTAGGAGCGCACAGACGCAGCGGGACGGTGCGTAATGCAGACATATCTCCACTGAACAGCGTTTACTCTTGATAAGGTAAGTATTTACCTCAGAGTGTTGTAGGTTTCATTGTGATTGTCGTCTACATAGTATATTAACAAGCACCATGACCTTATGATCGTATTCATCATAAACATAATGCCAGCCTAGATTACTGCTATTCTAGAGCTGACTCACTCTCATTCACTAGTTATGCATTGCTATAAAAATCTCTCTGGATTTGTTTGCGTTATACAGTATAGGCCTACATAGAATGTACAAGTTCAGCTCATAGACTGTATATATTTGCTGTAGTGGCAGTTCATTCCTATAGTTCATTCCTATATCTTATTAAAACACTTATTTTTAAAATCAGTAGGCCTGCTATGTCCAATTTGGGAAAAGCATTACCATCTATTAAGTCTGTTAAATGTAGTATATTAAGGCATTTTTATTTAAACTATAACCAAACTGACATACAATCATGGATAACTTTTAATTAGTCTATTTCTCAGATCGCAGAGTGTACTGTTTACATAATTTTCTATGCATTATTTGTACCACTTAGGTACCTTTAGGCCTATGTCTTAATAATTTCAAAAGAAATAGTATAATGATTTCAAAAGGAATAGTACATGTGATAAAATGAGCTTGAGATGAGACAGATTTGAAGTGTGCTGCTTTCTGCTGTTCACTCATTTGCAGGTTGTCCTCTGCACAGTACAACATTGGCAGTAAACGTGAGCACCCACTGTGTCAAACTGTAAACATTACATTTGGACATCGCGCTCTTCTTTTATGCTCGGCTCACACTGTTTAATTTGCTGACTCGGATTTCCAGCCGCTGCAGAACAATACACAAGCATTTATCCTCCGTCTTGGCAGCAGCTAACGGTGTTTAAAATACAGCTGAAAAAAGTCTTTTTAGTGTGAGTTAAAATCCACTGTTCTGAGGCAACAGCCTGTCTCTCTTCACTATCAGAACAGACAGACCTGCATCTGATCATGCCAATTCACTCAAACTTACCTGCATAAATTACTTGATTGTATTTCAGTATTTTTCTTCACCAAGCATTTCATATTTAGGTGAATTTGTTGGCATTATTCAAATAATTATAAGCATTTTTTTTTCTATCATCATCATTTAGTCTGTCTCCAGTCCAGATTCTGTCTGTTTTTTCAGAGATCCATTTTTTTAGATCCATCTTGGTCTTACTGTGTGTGTCTTCCCTGAGCTGTCATGTTAATCAGACAGCACACATGAAGAGAAGGGAAATGGTGTTCTGTGACTAAATGAGATGGATCAGAAGTGCATGTTGTGAATCAGCGCATATAGAAGGTGCCGGGAATTAATTTAATTATGTTTAACAGATGTATGTCAAAGATATACCATCTGGTTGATCAAAACTGACTTTTCTTGTCTGTCTATAAATATACATTAAGTCGCACAAAAGAAGTTCTTCCAGGCTGCCGTAGAAATAAGAATACTATATAATACGTGTTTGTAATGTTTTTATATTTCTCTTCGTTATTCACCAGGTTTACAGATCAGAACCATGGGGAAGAAAGATGCAAGTGCCACAAAGTTACCAGTGGATCAGTACAGAAAACAGATTGGTGAGAGTTGAAATTTGTCTTGCAGTATAAAACAATTCATTAACAATGTAACTTTGTAATTGGTAATTGTATAACACTATTTACATATATAGTGCTGTTTTGATCACTAGGGATGGAAACCCAGTGGTGAAAAAAAAATTGTCATATGATTAACATTGTAAAATATAGACAATCAACTATTCAAAACCATATTAAACAGGATGCTGAAACCCATTAATTGTCTATAGCCATATTGTGCACTGAAAGTGTGTGCTGGTGTTTAGGGCTATGTTTTCCCTGTTCTTTTGGCAGATCACATTTGTCTCCAGAGCTTTACATCCTCTGATTTTAGCCTTTATACTTGCTTGTGTTGTGAGTTAACAGGACAGCAGTGCTGTTTCTCCACTGGCTGCAGAGTGACAGTTTCATCTGTTTTCAAACTGGGACACAAATGGGATTATTTAGCTTGTGCACCTCCCTTAACTGTCTGTCATTGTGTAAAACTCTGCAGGTTCAACAAACAAGAGGCGCACATCACATAACAAGCTCATCTCCCACTATGACATCTACAGCGCATTTCTATTTTACCTTTAGTGTTTTTCTCTCATCAATTCAGAAGCGTAACACTGGTGTCAGGGACACTTTGTATAGCCACCCCCTTCCAGCCTTCCATTTTTACAGCTTTCCTTCCTTTCAAAAGAATAGCCATCAGGCAATTTGAGCAAACCGCTGTTTAACAGCAAAGGTAAAAACAGGAAAGAGGGAGAGACGTCAGCCAGGAAAATGAAGCCTTCAAAGATAGCATGGGGCTGAGGCTTGTGAGAGCAGCCCAGGCCACACATGGTAATTTGAAATCGTAATAGAGTGCCCTATTCATGGCCCATCAGCAGTGGCCTGCTGGTGTCGAGCTGTACCATCATCTCTGCTGGAGAGCTTTGTGATGTCAGAGGGCCATCACAGGGCCACTGTTGACACTCCTTTAAATACCATTATTAAGCTGCTTATAATTGGCCCCGCTATGCTGTCCACAGAAAAGGTAAAGCTATGGTGTTCCGACATGCGTATTTAAAGGTGTAAGTAAGCCACTTTGTTCAGGCCATGATTGCCTCTGCTCAATAAACCAACTGAAGGCAGCACTCAGGCACCCAAAATATCTGTGTTTTAAACACATAGAGAAGTGCATCAATTTAAGTGTGGGGCTCACTTTACATCAGAGGACTAAGCTGAAATATGGTCTATTGTGTGTTAACATGTTACAGCCTTACCATGTAGATTTAACACTTGTAAACATGTAATGTGTGTACCCTCTGCCTCCTCTAGGGTGGTCCTCTCATTCAGAGTTCAGGCTCTGCTCCTTTGAGTATGGTGGAAGCCCTGTAGTCCCATGTGCAGCTCTGTGGCAGATGCCAGCGCTCCACACCATGTGCTGGTGACTGTTTGGCTCCCATGCCAAATAGACAGAAACAAAACAAAGCATAACATGCTGTCATGTGCTAGCCCAGTGCTCCCTGGGGCCTGAGGGAGAGCTGGCCCATACACAGAGGGGTGAATGTGTTCAGCAGCCACAAACATAAAGGAAACATTTACTAGATCACTGCCTACAGAAACACACTTACACTTACAACAATGTTATGTAAATATAGCCTCAGGTGTTTTTTCCTTTTTCTTGATTTCCCTGTTAGTTAGAAAGTTAGAGAAATTACTCACTTGTATAACACAAAATCTCACACAAATTGTGCTGTAGTGCTGATGTCTCTTTGATTCTCTTGTTAAATGAATATAACAGTCAGTGGTGCAGCACACATAGATTAGTCTTCAGTGCTGCTTGAACAGAGGAGACTAAAGCTGGTCTCATGAGCCCTTTGCAGTATCATCACTGGTGTATTCACAAACCCACCACAGTGCTGTATGTGAGAGGCTGATAAGAGAGGCACAAGTACTATGTATAATACAACTGTCTCCAAATCACCTACTCTACTCACATACACACACGGACACGCACACAAACACACACTGTGTAATTGTGATAATTTAGTACCAATTAAGTATTGATTGTCAGCAGATGGCGTGGAGGGTATTTTGTTTTGATGAATGCTAACATAAAAAGATAATTCTCTGTTGTAGATGCAGGTTTTTACTCATCACTAATGGAGCATGTTGTGTGATTTTGGAGAATGTGTGTTACCCCTCAGGGGTTTTCTTACAACATCAGCTGGCACAAACACAGTTTTCTGGACTCTTCTACCATTCTTCTTACATTGTATTTGTGTTATAGACACTCACCTGAAAATACTACATTTGAAAAATGTATCACAAAAATGCACAATATTTGAGTATCTTCACTGGCCAAAACAACTCCTTGCTTTTTGAATAAATACTCCCGTATCCAACAGCTCAACTCCCTGCTCAATTTCTGTGAAAGCAGAGTTACCTAAAGTGCCCTCCGCTGAAATGTTCACCACGCAGCTTTTGACAAGTCGAAAAGGCATCCACTGGTCCTCAAAGTAATTCCCACTGGCTTTCTGTCTGCTACTGGCAACACGTTCACCATTTCTATAGCCTCTCTACCTGGTCTTACAAGCAGCTCCTAAGTTCACTTTTTAGGATCCATAGAGACCAATTCTTCTTTCTGTTCCCCAAGATGAATAAAACATGTTTATTACTTTATTATGACATTCATTTCTGGCTCCTCATGTCTTTCAGGTAAACAAGACTACAAAAAGACAAAGTCATTCCTCAAGGCCACGCGGCTGAAAGCTGAAGCCAAGAAAAGTTCATCTGGATTAAGGGTAATACTGCTGTTATGTACTGATCTTTTTATTTTTTATTTTTTGGTCAAACTGAAGTGTAGATGGCAAAAACACTCCAATAGACATCAAACAATGAAACAACCATTCTGACCCATTAGCGTTCCCGTCTCAGCAAAATGGTTGAGGAATACTGTATTTTCGCAGCCATCAGCAAGGCATGATGGCTTCATATCCTTTACTATGGCCCCTTGATGTTTATGCTTTGTCTCTTTGTGATGCTAAATTAAAATATGTTAATATTAGATTTTCTACACCAGAAAGCTCTGCTAACAAATCTTTGAAATTACAAATATCTTTGCAAGTGAGTAGTAACTGCCCCTAGTGTGTATTTTGACTTTTCATATTTTGTTTACAGTACTGGTAGTGAAAGATTTGAGTGGCTCTTTTAGTTTAGCTCATACACAGAGAAGGAAAAAAAAAGAAGAAGAAGGAAAAAAAAAACACTGTGAGGATTATACAGCAGGGTCAGGTTTTTAAAATATGCATCTCTTTGACACGCAAGGCCTCATTAAGCACCTCTTTAATCCAATTAGATTAGTCCATATCTTGAAATATTGATATTGCTCATGAATAATTCATTTTTTTACACCCAAGATGAGGGAAATTTTCCGAGGTCGGATTAAAAATACCCCAGGGACAGGGATATTAAACTGAGTTAGACCTCTCTGCCCCAAGTTTGATTGAAATTCAGTGCAAATGTAATGGTTCTTTGGTCACGCTTGCATTCCCAGTACACTGCCACATAAACTTCAGATTTTTGCATGGCCTTCATGGCTATAGAAAGCCTTCAAGTGTGGCAACTTAAAAATAATGACAAGTCTATGATATAATCAGAGACCTGTCACTAGGGTTGCAACATTAAATGCAATGAATCATGTTATTAAAACATAAATTGTAAATTGCAAAAGAACCGCAATTTAATATTTTTCCCTAATCATTCAGCTCTATCTGCCATAACAACAAATTTTGATGTGCAATATATTTCTGCAGAGAATTATCATAAACAATAATACTAAAACTACTTCATGCCACTTACACACTGAATCACACTCATATTATAATTACTGAGCCCCAAAAATAGTTTCATATGTCATATACTGAACAATAGTCATTATAGTAATTATGTGTCAGGTCTTGTAAATTAAGTAAACCATATTAAATTCATCCAACAGTGAATTAGTTTGTCAGAAATATTAAATACAAGATCTCTTATTTTTCTTTCCCATTGCCTCCTCTTGTTTTGGCATCTCAGATTTGTATGCTGGGGGAATGTGGCAGATGCTACAACAGGCTGTCCTGGGGCTGTCCAGTCTGGAGAACTTGGCAGAATACCCCAAAAGACAAAGTTAAAAAAGAAAATAGAAGTTGTGGAGTGCACAGACGGTAACCTATGAATATCTCCTCATATATTAGCTGTTACTGTGGGTGCACTAAAATAGTTCTGTTGTTGCCTGAGCGCATCGTCTAAACCATGACATAAGGTCACAGTAGCCATGATGAAGTCTGCTGTGGTTTGTTCACTCTCTTCAAAGTAGCTGAGATGCACATTCAGGAAACAAACTCGCTCCCTTGTCTAATTGGCACACTAGCCTTCTGTTCTTTTCGACCCAGTGTTTGGGTTTAATTTAGTCGCGGGGTTGTGAAAGTTTAAAAAATACCAGGAGAAGACAGAGACTGCAGATAATGAGCATCCTGGTTTGTAGATGTTCTGTGTTTAATGCCAAGCGTATAGTTCACATTGACATATATTCAGAATGTAAGAATGGGGACACTTGCAGATAGGGAAAAAAGTTCTCACCAGAAAAGCATGTCAGGACAACATTAATAAATCTCACATTTCTCCAAAGTTTAAAAAATAAACTTGAGGGCACTAACATTAGCCAGATTCAGTCGACACTTTCCATCAACATTTTCTTATTTAAAAAATAAATTGTTTAATAATATTACCACTTTAGCTTTTGTATCACAAAATAGTGACAATATAGTCTGCCAATTTGAGCAAACATTTATTTTACTACTTTTAACTACCTTCTGCAAGTTTTTTTTTTTTTTGTTTTTTTTTACCAGTAGATGGCAGATGTGAAACCTATCCCCCCTCCCCTCACCTGGAATTTGTTCAGACTCACCTGTGCTCTCTGGTCTTCTTCTGTCAGGCCACAGCGGGCACACGATCACACAGTAGTAACATAGATAACATCTAGTGGTGACATGTGAGAATACAACAGGGGTTGATCGACCAGGCTATTTACAGTTGTAGCTTTCAATGGAAAGCTGTAAAGAAGGTCTGAGTATAGCAAAACGTTGAACAAGAAAAATAAAAATACTAAATAGGTATAGCATTGTTGTTGAAGTATATTTACAACTTTTGATTGATTTCTGTATTCCTTGATCATTCATAGTGCCCTCTTTTACTCAGTCTCGTCGTAAAACAGTGTGAAATGTAAGCAAACATCTGTTCCTGAGCACCAGTAGCTGTATTATTGTGACAGTGGTCCGTAGTGTCTCCACCGCCCACACAGCGCCAACAGCACCTCTGAATTGTGCACAAACAAACCCGCCACGAGGAGAATAAAAGCTGGACCAGATGAGCTGCTGTCTGCTGTGCCGTGGCTCGTCGCCAGGGTGACAGAGACCCAGCTCCCAGCATGCCGAGCGTGTGCTGCAGCTGCCGGTGATGAAGAGGATGATGGGGATGAAGATGGTGGAGCTCCATCAGAATGTGTGTGAGTGGGAGTCGGCGCGGCGGGCCACTTGATGTTACCACGAGCTCAATCAAGTGCAGGTGCTTTCTCCAGCTCAAGTGTTTTCACCCATTCCCCTCCAGTTTGTTTTCACTGCCACTGTAACCAGCTGTTCTCTCTGTCTCACACAACCAAAGCAAACACACAACTGCATTGTGCCGTCAGAAGAGCAAGCATGCAATACAGGTCAGGAATGTTGTAATGGATGAGAGATTTTTAGCTAAAACTGAAAGGTGCATTGTGTAACTTTTCTGGTGGAGGTTCTGTCAAATGCTTGCCTCCATGGAGATGTTATTGCTTTGTCTGGAATGTTTCACAGTATGGCATTAAACCTTTCTTCATGGAGACCAAACCAGACCAAGTTACAGGTTAGATCTGTGGAGAGGCGACTGTCAGAATGCCTGTTTTGTTTGTTTTGTTTTTGAGCAATAAAGCCACTTATAATTGATTAAATGCAAGGTAGAGCTGTTTAATGTCATAGTATGGAACATTCACGGCTTAGCAATGACATATCATAGAGCTATAGGAACAAGTGGATGACGGATGCTCCACCAGTGTAAGTCTAGAATAATCTAAACAAAGCTATATCTACATGTATTTATGCAGAGTGATGCTCTTGGGCCATTGTGAACAGCTTCACTCTGGAGGGCAATAAATGGCCGCTCTGAGAACATTTTAAACAGGTGGTCTGCTGCTACTGGGGTACATTGTCCTTGAGGTATATTTAGCCACAGGTGAAAGAAAAGACCACTGCATATAGTACCAAGAAAGCAAATTTATTTAATGTTCTTTGTGAAAGCAAATATATACAATTTCAATACATTTAATTCCAAAAGTCAGTTTAATGGAGTATATGCAACTCATTCCTACTCATCTTATTGTTTTAGCCTCTATTCAACAAAACTGCACTTACATACCAACAATGGCAGAGATGTCGTCCATGGAATCACCATTGTGTCTGTCGTGTTTTTCAAAGCCTTGAAGAACACAAGAAAAAGAAAACAATCAGCCTTCTGTGATTCGATAACACTTCGTTTTCTCCAAAGCTTCGACAGAATAGAAAAGTAAATCAGGCATTGTGAGCCTAGCGGGTAATATATGAAACTAAAGTGCATGAAATTTAAAAGTTTTCCAATTAAAGCCAGGACTTAAAGCTGTTTGGAGGCTGCTGGGATGGAGATAAATGTGGCGCTCGGGCTAATGAAGACCAATGCTGCTGTTGACGAGGCGCTGCTACAACATGTACACAGACAGAGATGCCTTTTAATTGCCACACACACACACACACACACACACACACCTCCAGCCTTCCTGTCATAGAATTATTATTATTATTATTCTCAGCTCCCCACCACTCTCTTATCACTTGGTTTGCTCTTTACCAGCAGCAGTGTGGCCTCTGGGTTGATTCCACAATCCAATTATTCCGATTCAATGTTTTTATTACCTATTTGTTTCTATCTGTCATGGTTCAGATAACAGAGCTTTCTTTTTTTTCCAGTTTTTATTTCACCATTGTAACCTGCTTAGTGATGTTTCCTACCAGTACATTATAATTAATTAGGGTTTATAATAAGCGCAGGTTTATCCGCTGGAGTGACTTTGGCTTTGGGTTTTGTGTTGGAAAGGTTATGTCATTAAGAGTGGAGGAGGAAAACTTATAATGGGAAAATGGAAAAACAATAATGATGAAAAATGAATAAGGAACTAAACATTAGGATTCTGTTGTATGGAATTCCAGGTGTAAATTTCTTGGAAATAAAGGTGTACTCTGTAACTTTCTGGTGGAGAGGATGCAAAGTAAAGAAAAACCTTGGTGATGAAGTCAAATATGACTTTTGTGAGGTTATAACTATTGTAAATATAAATTGCAATTTTACACTAATCAAGAAGCAATTTGTGAAGTAAAGTTGAAAAATATGTTGAAAATTACAGGAAGTAGAGAGGTCTAAACACACTTATGACATCATGTTGGGGAGAATTCAATTCAAGATTTTTTTTTTTTTTTGATACTTTAAATATTAATTCAACAAAATAAAGGTGGTTTCTTATATTTGTATTTGTGAGATAATAATTTCTGTGTACATTAGAGGCGTTTTGCCCAGGTAACAGTTTTGAAATTTCCTAGTGTGATGTCAGTTTCCAACCAGGAAGTAATTTTATTTTAAACCTAAAAAATGGCCAAATTTGGAAAACAAATGTGGATGTCTTTGCCAAAATCTTAAATATAATGATTTTAACTGTTTTTTAGTAAAATGAGAAGTCTAACCTGTCATAGGCACTTTAACCCACTGTCACAACAGCTCTTGTGGCGTGGCCCAGTTTGCACGTTAAAACTGATCTCAAATATTTCTCTTTGAATACCCTCCAATCAGTGTGTGCTCTTTCACAGTCCTCCAAGCCCTCCAGTGTTGATTAGAAAGTTTGTGGCTAATGACTTCTCTTGATAAAGAATAACTGGCATTGTTCAATAGTCTGAGTGGGCCTAATGAAACTCCAGCTGATGAAGATTGTAATCGTGTGAGCACCACATAATGAACAAGCGCTCCTAATTCCCATTTTACACTTGAATGCCACTCCTCTGGAAAGCCTCAATTTGTTTGACAATTAACCAATGGCAATCCAAAAAATAGGGCATTTGTTGAGGAAAGTTTAACTTCAGAGTAGAGATGTTAAAACTGAACAGATACTATTACTCATTATATTATATGACTTGTTTTTATTTATTGTCACTTTTCCTGTAACAGCGAATGAGAATTAATGAAATATTTAGATGTTTTGTTAAACCAGGGTATACTCACTCAAATCAATATTCCACAATGATGGCATCACTTAAATATGCACTATCTAACTTTTATTGCAGGAGAGCAGAAAGGGTGGACTTAGATTTAAGACTTTGATCCACAATGGAAATTATAGTAGCTCACACATCACAATATGTTACAATAACAAAGAGCAAGAATATAAATGGTAATAACAAATTCAAACTCAAAATTCTAAATAAAGGGAAGAGTCATTTTAGACACAGTAATAACATAGTGTAGCCTGATGCATCAGCCAGTTTCATTTTGTGGAAACCATCTGACCTCGCAGCTTTAGAATTTGTTTGGTTGACGGTAGGTGGGTACTTTTTTGTTTAAGCAATCACTGCTATTTGGTTGTGATGAATGTAATGCACCACTAACAGGGCTAACTGGTATATTAAGCTTTTCTCAAATTCTGTAGGAAGAAGGGCAATAACGTCTTTCCCATTGATAAAATTCACCAAACATTCTCTTTGTTCCGGCTTTAAATCCTCAATCTCGGGAATCGTTGCCAACACAGAATGTATGGCTCTTTGCTCATTGGCTGGTGCCCGGACTCACACTTCTGTTGTACTTGCAAACTGTCTAGTGTATTCTGTTTCCATAGTACCATAGTAGAAACATAGTGCACCTCTGATTGCAAATAGAGAGATTAATTTTTTCTTACAAAGGCATTCATACATGCATAGATTTGTTTTTGCTAAAAAGTGTAATTTTATTGTTTTGTTTCTGTCTGTGTCTGTATAGGATGCGTTCTTGGTGGTAGTGGCGATCCTGGTGTTTGTCCTCTGTGTGTACGCCTTCTTCTACCTGAACCTCAGCACTGAAGTTAACTTAGACCTGGATGTGGACTGACGAAGCCTGAACCAGAAATCAGTCAAGAGTTAACAGACAAATGGTGATGGTGGTGACTGTTATTTTTTTTCAACTATTTCTTCAGACAAGTCATGGACAGTGGTTTGTCTTCTTGTCCTGATGTATATTTTTATTCTGTATACTTTTTGTTTTGTGGGTGAGCAATAGTATGAATTTTACACTGTGATGTTTTGCGACTGAACCAAATCCAAATGTTCTTTTAACCATCATGGGAAACCCTTGGCTCTTGGTCACGTCTGTTTCCCAGTTTTCCATCAGTCCAAAGAAAATAACCTTTTTGTAATTGACGGAGATAAAAAACATTCTGCACAGTCACATTCCATTGTTTTTTTTTGTTTTGTTTTGTTTTTTTGTTTTGTTTTTTGTTTTGATTTGTTTTTTCATTAATGGATAATTGTAAATATTGTATCAAAGAAATATACTTTTTTTGTTTGTTTGTTTGTTTCTTTTATTCTGATCATTGCATTTGAGATTAGAACCCACAAGTCATGGTTCTGAGTTACATTTTTGAGGAGAAAACATAACAATTTATTCTACTTGCAAACAATACTTTACCAGTTTAGCAACTCAAACATGCTAATCTTTTAGAACAGGGAAAGGCTAACCTGAATTGTAAAGGTGACCTCAATACTTTTTTGTACATTCAACTGTTTTGATACAATGTTTTGTACAGTAGTTCTAAGCAATACCTTTTGTCATAAAGCTTTGGTCTTTGTAAATGCAAGAAAATACACATGTTTTATTTTAAGCTTTTTCAGATTGTTGGGCATAATATTTGAAGTCTTATAAATTGTCTACTACACAATTCAATAATCTTAAAGTGCACTTGAAGAAAGGGAAGTAGTTCCATTTAGAAGTGTCTGTGCTGAAGTCAAGGCCAGAGTATGGTGAGAGGCTGCAGAAATGTGCTCTTATGGCTTTATGTCTGAGGATCTGTCACGTCAGCTATGTTTTTCTGTTCTTTTGTTGGTCCCTGGGTAAGATGAATCACTGAAACATGATTAAATGGAGCAAAGATCAATAGAATAATCAGACAAATCATTCCCGTAGATGTGAATTCCATTTGGCAGTTGGTGGTATAAATAAGGATGTTGTCATTTCCATCTTAAAACATGCACCATAGGCAAGATAGTTCAATATCTGGACATGGGTGCTGTGCTGTACTGCTGCTGCTCACTGCTCCTCAATACCTCAATAAAAATACTTTTAACTTTTCCAAAGGTAAAAGTCCTATATAATGCAAAACTGACTCTTGTGAAGTTTAAGACATGTTAGAATGTTGTTATCTCATCAAAAAACATACTTTGAGTTGGCTTTTGTTTCATTCACACATGTTTAGTAGAGTAAATTTGTATTAATAGTCTGTTTACTCCAAAGCTCAAAATGCTCTGTTCCACTTTGTGATGTCACGAAGTGGTAGTTTTCAGGTTAACAGGTTTTTACCTTTTTTGTTCAGAAGGTTTTTTGTTGTGTATGGAGTTTAAAAACATAGAGTAGCATTTCCTGTATTACCACTTGACATCACAAGGTGGAGCAGAGTGTTTCCAGTTTGAGAGAACTCAGCCTATATAGGATTTGTGTTTTAAATGTGTAAATGAAACAAAACATAACTCCAGGTATGTTTGTAAAGAGGAACAACATTCTAACAGAGATCAGAAAATAGTCTATAGCACATTTTCATTTTGAGGACAGAGAGGTGGATGAGCAGTTAAACTGAATCAAAGTGGGGCTTCAGTATGTGCTTTGAGCTCTACAAGGCGAGCCACTAAAATCTTCCTAGTGTCTGCTGGATCTAAACGGCCGCAATCAATGTGAATCAGGATAAAAGTGAAGTTTCAAGTTGACACGTTCACATAATATCAAAAGTTGGACCAAGCTTTTCTTAATATACAGTATATAATAATATTCACATGGCCAGAATAGTAAAAAGTGAAATGGTTAGCATGTAGGGGTGTAACGATATCCAAGTCTCACGATATGATGTCGTCACAGTATGAACCTCATGGTGCAATATTTATTGCAATATCGTGGGAAAACTCACAATATGGTGGGGAGGCTCACAATATTATGATATTATACATCATTGCAAGACTGACATTATAAAATGCTTTGACCACAACATTTATTGTCCTATTCTAGGAATGTAACAATATCCAAAGCTGACAGTATGATACTGTCACGATATGCATCTCACAGTACGATATTTATCGCGATATTTTGAAGAGGCTAATAATTAAAGATGGGACACTTTTTGCTTTTAAAATACCTTGACAAAATTTTTTTTGAATTATTTCTGTCATAATCCCAAGAATTCAAGTAAAAAACATCTCTTCATGTTGTCTGCACTGAAATGGGATTTGTAGTTCCCTATTTTTATAAGCTGTTGCTACTATAAAACAATGCATTTAACCAAAATAACTTGTAATTCAATATATTGTAACAGCCCACGATATTATTGTGAGACTTTTGATGATATGTTATCACGATATTTCGGTTACTGTTGCATCCCTATTAGAGTGTGACCAGAGATGTTCCTCATTGTTTCTACATAGTGTTGTTTAGTTAAATAGTTTCATTTTCATGCATTTGCAAACCCAAACAAACGCCCTTCTGTGTCTGAGATACTGTGGAAATGTGAGACCAATTTTAAACTTTCAGTTTCTGCTTTTCCCCTCGGTTTCTCCCATGACCTCTGACCTCTTGTAAAATCCAACATGTCAAAGAAACCATTATGATAAGGCTGGTCCGTGCCCTCAGCCCACCTCTGCATTATCAGGATAGTACCTCCTCTGCTGCAGTACAACTCTACCCATGTAACAATAGACAGCAATGCATTATGGGTCTCCAGATATGACACCTGTTATCTGCAGGGTCACCATTAGCAACAAGAGGAGCCCTGACTTGAGCGCAAAGAGCATCAATGCAGGTCAATGTTTACCAGGGTCATTTTTCAGCCGCTGTAATGAGCGTGATGTCTGCTGCTGTTATAAGACCTTAATTGTTTTTGTCTAGGCCTTTTCCACTGACTGTGATGTTAAACAAGACCAGGGACCATTCTCAATCAGTTTTATACTTTGTTTAATCTTTATTTGTGGCATTTATTTGTATTTAACGTTTAATGATATTGAGAGTCTCATCTAACTGACTGGATGTCTTTACCGATAAGATTTTAAGACTGATGATGAATTATATTACTAGTAAAAATATAAATATTTGTGAAGTCTCAAGTCTCAAATAAGCCTATGAAAATATGCTTAAAGGTACAGTATGTAAAATTTCCAGTGGGGGTGCAGTAATGATGCAGACTTAGACATGCCTAGATAGAACGTGGGCCCTGTTGCCATGGCAAATGTAGCAGCCATCTTGTGAGTAGAATAAGAGCAAAATTATGATTGAAAATAATGTAAAAGGGTCAGAAAATAATTGACTGAAGTGCTTAAATTGACATGAAATGGTATATGTGTGGTCTTAATAATGCAGGGAACTATACCTCTCTGTTAGGACATTTTTCCTCTGAATAATGAAAATTATATAGAATAAATGAAATATTTTATGTAGAATTAAACTATTTTTGTGTGCTTATTCACCCTATGGACACAACCATAATTATTCTACTATTGTACTTTTACTTCATGCCTGTTACTGTAAAAGAAGAATTTATTACAAAACGAAAAATAATTTATCAAGATTTGTTCACATTTGGTTCTGGAACTTAGGCATTAGATTAGATAAGAATACAAAAAAGTCCAATTATCACAATATAAAAAAAAAATTTAAAAACCCGTTGTGATTGTAGAATTCTAGTCAGAACTCTCTCTATTGCATTTAACACAGCCATGCTTCTACTGTAGGGAGTATTATACCCTCTGATTATGCAGGTTAGATAATAATATAATATCAATAAGGACTGAGCTGGTCATGTCTTTGGTACAGTAGTGAAAATTCCCAAAAAGTTGCCAGAAATGCCAGAAAAGTTACACATTGCACCTTTAACTATATTATTAAAATATACTAACCATCAAATAGCATAAAACACCAATAGAAGTATAATATAAGTAATACGAAAACTGTAATACTGCTAAAATAAGTACAGGTGACACATTTAGGGCTAGAATACAAAAAAAAAAAAAAAAAGAACACTCCATCACAGTTGTCATGACAATAATGACCCTTAGAAGAGATTAATGATTAACTTGACCTACAGATTTGTATTAAGGTTCCTTTACATGCAGATATTTGCCCATAACAACCAAAATAAATGTTGTTTTTAAAGATGACTTCAACATAGGCCTGTTACTCCAGGAAAGAAGAGCTACTCACTGTCCACAAGACAAACGATCTGCTCGCCACACACACAGACCTGCTTCATTTGTCATGTGGGGATGTCAACAAGATAAACTGACTGTGTGTCCTGGCCTCATACACACATATTCATATCTGAGCGTAATGCGTAATGCACTTTCCCACAGTTCGGCTGATAAGAAAGGTTCTCATACACTGCTGTTTATAACGACATTGAACATGATGCTGTCACCAAATAAGAGAAAGAGAAATAAACACATTTTTATGGCTATATTCTGTAAGACTTGTAAAGTTTTGCCTAGTTTTCAAATAGAATATGCTGATTGCAAACACCCAGATTTGAAATAAGACAGTTTTCCTCCACAGTATTTTCATGAGAAATTTCCAAAATGAAAATCTGCAAATGTTGAACCTGATCATTTATGTGACCAGATCCTTGACTTTACTACAACAAAAATCTGCATATTAGCAATAGTCATTTTATTATAACTCCCATTCTCTTTCTCCTTTGCTCACCTCTGTCTTTCTGTCTATCCTACACTCTTCCTTCTCTTT